CTCAATGTTGCTCATATTTCTACGCGTCTTCGGTTTGGAACACTGTGACTTGACATAAGTCACTCTGATGACCTCTCGATATTTGTTACAGTTTGTACTTAAAACCCTAGTATGAAGGTCGTTCTCGGAAAAACTGTCCTAGACTCGCACCCACTGCGAGTGAAGATCACTGTAAAAAATCGTTGTAAACCGTTATCCACTACCTGGTTGCAAGGGTTTTGTGGTCAGTAATTATCATCTTGTTTACTGTCAAACCCTACTTAACTTTCGTTGAGTCATTACGGGTTACTGAATTATGTAGCCATAGGAAATGCATATTTTTAAAAAGAAATAATTGTTTGTATTCGGACTGTGAATATACAGATTATTGATTAAATTTACCATTGCGAAGATTTGTCTCACATGAAAAATTAACCGGATTGTGAATAATCCGGATTTACGATGTCCAGACTAACGAGGGTTGACTGTAGTACAATATTCTGTACAGACGAGGTCGACAGACGTATAGTGGTAGAGACGCTATTTTTAATAACAAATTGGTTTATAACAATTGTTACGGTATTATTTGCGTCACAAGAAATCAGGTCTAGGGTAAAGACTATTTAACACAATATTATTTATTTAAATACCATATATTATTAATTACTAGCAGATGCCCGTTGAAACAGTTTAATGGCAAATTTCCTAAAAATACTTATGAATAAATAAAAACTGTGCACTCAACCCCAATGCCTCGGGTCATAGCGTATATTCAATATGATTGTCTAGTAGGCCGTTTACAATCGTATTTTGTCATTCCATGTGTTATATAAATAAGGAAAATTGCATTGTGTTTGTTTCTAAACAAAGGAGACTGACTGTAATGCATTGTTGGTAAAAATGGTTGGGTTTCGATGCAATCGGTGCATCTAGCACAATAGAGCGCTCGCTCTCGTTAAGTAGTTGCGGAAATTTTTTTTTCCATTGGCTGCTAGCGTTCTTTGTCATTGTACTGAGCGCTACAAGTAAACATTTTTTGACAGTTGTCCGTTCTATTAGAAATGTCAGAGGGGAGATATTCAATTCAAATAAATTTATTCGACATAGTACAATAAAATCATGCATGTATATGATACCGACATGTAAACCGAACAACGGCTAATATATACTCAAACATGTTCCTCTCTTTATACGTTTATTCCATTCATGCTACTATCTTCGAAATGTTTCTTTCAATCACTCGACTGAGGAAGTCCCGTTTTTTTTTTTGTGAAATTCCACCACAAAAAAAGAGAAACATTTTTGTTCTTAAGTTGTTTTCTCATATTGATTGTTGAGTCACAGCGTAAGTTTGAATTTATCTCGTTAGGTTCTTTACGACTGTCAAAATCAGTTATGCATTTCTAAAGTCAACAAATATGTGATTATATTTCAAAGTAGGTCCACAAACTACACTACAATAAGACATTATATGTAGTATTTTAACGAGACTAGAAAAACAAGATAATTTAGGATTCTGGACAAACTTTAGTCATGAATAAACTAAGTTTATGGAAGTTATGAAGTTTACTAGAAATATTCATGCATAAAGTGTTTTTTGGATGTAAATTCACTTTAAATAGTTTTATTCGTTTCATTTCCTAGATTTACACACACGCGCGCGTTGTGGCGGCTTCTTGGGACGCTGAATCGATCAACCCATTACTTGGGTGGTATGTCCAACACTGAATGTTAATAGAAATGGAATTTCCAACCTAAACAATCGGTCTGGCATGGCCTGGTTGTTAAGGTACTCGACTCGAAACCTGCGGGTTCCAGTTTCGCATCCCATTCCAGAACATGTTTGGTCTTCCAGCCTTGAGGGTGTTGTAATGTGAAGGTCAATCCCACTATTCGAATAGAGTAGCCCAAGAGTTGGCGGTGGGTGGTGTTGACTAGCTGCTTTCCCTCTAGCCTATATCTCCTAAATTACGGACAGCTAGCGCAGATAGTCCTCATGTATCTTTACGCAAAATTCAACAAACAAACAACCTGGGTAATGGAATTGATTGTTATAACAGTTGAAAGTATGGAGTGTGTTCAGTAACATCATGTTTTAAACCGTGGACCCTTCGATCTACAATCCAACATGCTAACAGCCACGCCCCTTCCTGAATGTTAATAGAATTATTTATTTCGTTGCGTGGTAACCCTCCGTTACCAGAAACATCACCCAACATTTCTTCGAAACGTAGTCATACGTTATCACTAATTAAACAGTTTTTTGGGAAAACTGTTGGCATGCTGAGATAGAAATAACACGAGTAACAAATATACAGCATAATAATATGTAAAAGAAGTCATTGAAATAATTCTTGAGAGAAAAAAGGAGTTACATGGTCAACATTTCCGCTAGATGATGCCTTTTGTAATGAAGGTCACTTGGCCGACACCTCATAATTCTTTCTATATTACAGAAATGTCTAAATATTCCTTTGAACTTTCAGCTCGGTGTTAAAAAACTTAGTCCCTGTTTACTCCCTTTACCTTACTTTATTTTCTTAAACGCTAAAGTTGAAGTAATAACTCATATTTTCAGAGGATTAAATCAGTGAAGAATATGATACACTCCATGAATTATGCAGTATACTATTATGTCTATGAAATCCGTGGTAATCTTAAAAGTCCATTGTTCGTTTCTAAATGTATGTCAAGGAAGTATAAAGGATTGTAATTAATGAACACAAAAAAAGCGAAATTTTTATGTTTCGTGTACGGTATAACATAGGTGCCCTAACACATAGAGTAGAAGGGGCACGTACCCCTCCCACTTTTCCAGTTAGTGCACATGTATTATTAATAGCAATTATGTTGGATTTACTTGCCTTACCTCTCTCACTTTTCAACGAAATTCGTTACCCCGATGTTATTGTTATATAAAACTGTTTATATATATATGTATATATATAACCTCGTTAATTTCAAGTTATTACATTACATAAAGAAAGAAACGCGCACTCTTATACGTTTCGGTTAGAGCTATTATTCACTTTTCTTGTCATGATGACAAACTACGCTGTTCCTCGCTCAAGCCCTTCTCCTGAGAAATAATAAACCCGATCTAATGTCACTTACATGATATTATGTCTCTATCTCGTACGATCATATGCTTTTATATTTGCAACTAAGATTAAATATATTAATTACACTTTCCGACAGATACTTGTCTTCTTGATAAAAGTATACAAATAATGGTATATCAGTTTCATCATAACTTCCTGAGAACGTTTTATTTACTTTCTACCCCATTTTGGGTTTTTCCCTATATTTAAATTTCGTTTTCGTATTTTGTTGTTCTCTTGGGTCATTTCAAAGGGTGATAGGAATAAACTTAAAAAATCCGAATACAACATTTAATTTAATTTTTTTATTTTCACACGTCTTAACTATATGCATTTTTTATATAGTAAGAACTGTTTCACATCTAAACTACAGATTGTTTGTAACTAGGTTAGGTGTCACATTTTTACATTACTCGGAAATTCAATACGTCGATAAAATATATATGTATGTACATACATTCTATTATGCACCAATAAAAATCACTTAGTTACAAGTTACACATACCAACAATGCACAACTGAAAGTAAAACAATAGCTTATTGGAGTAACTCTGATTTAAAACTTTCTATTTATTAATATACTTTGTGAACAATCCAAATTGTTTCTTATGATTAGGCCTACACTATAATATTGAATACGGTCGTTGTGATAAACAGATGAGGCTAGCATTCACAGAAAGCCTGCTAAACCAAATTCCTTACTATTTACAACAGTGTAACTGTAAGTCAGAGTAAGACAGCTTATAATCATCAATTAATAACAGGCGGTTATTCAATGTCATGCACTAGCACAGCAAATATTGTGAGTTAGTTTCACAAAGTTTGTGAGTTTTAATATTAGGCCAACATTAGAATTACGTAACCTCAACTTGCCCTCATTTAGGCAGTACTGTACTATTATAATGCAAACAGAAATAGATGTAGAAATACGTATAGTCCCCTTGTGGGTCAGTGATAAGTTTATGAACTTACAATACTCAAATTCGGGGTTTGATTCAGTACAGTGGGTAGATAGCCCATTGTGTCGCTTACAAAATACACCAACACCATTATACACTCACATACTGTCTTAAAATTAATTATATGTTGTCTCAGAATTAAATTTAACTTTTCTCAACATTGTAATTTAGTAAAAAAGAAGGGAAAAATGGAGTAAAAAATGTGTAATTTGATAAAGATTATTTATTCGATGTGCTCCATTGTTATATAACAAAATGCAAAATTTTCTGAAATCTTGAAATTTGTTTGTTGGATCGATGGCGATCACAAACGTGAATCCTTTAAGACGGCTTTAACCATGCTAAAACTATTATTCTACACTGTTTACTTAAATATGATTAATGAATATATTGGAACTAACCGTAAGAAACAAAATTTCATTTTCAAGATGAGAAACATTAACGTTGAAATTTGATTGCCGAATACAAAAGCACTACGAGACAAACAGACAAAAGCAATGGGCTACACTGATTAGGCTTAACAACATTATGAAAACAACAGCATATACAACTAGCTAACTATTCTAACTGTTAAAGGATTTTTTGAGCAAATATGGACAGTTTGAAAGCATAGTATAAGAACTAGAAACAAACTCTGATAAAGATAGGATCATCAGTTAATTGAAGGAGCAGAGAAAACATATATCAGAAGGCTTACGAAATTGAGCAATCAAATAGTGCGACTATACGCTACTTACTGCAGATGAAAGACTTTGAGGACAGACAATGAAAAATACGTCTAAAGTCTTATTGTTTGTCTTTCCGAGATAGTTCATTTAATCTTAAAAAAAACCTTCAATCACCGTAAGGTAGATTTAAGGTTTCAAAAGCCAAAGTTACATATTTTTGTTGTATTTTCTTAAATAGTGTTGCAAAAATAAACGTAACTACAATATGATTTTTTTTTCATTTCTTATCACTGTCATCGGGACCATTCGCTGAATGCTTCATCCTCCTTTTCTTGAAGTTCTTCCACGCCTTCCTTAGTCACAACACTTCCATCTTTCTTTACGATGATCAAGGCCGGAATGGATTGGACATCATAAAGTTGTATTAATTTTTGACGAACATCAGAGTTGAAAGGAACTGCAGGCCATCCGATCTCCATTTGATCCATGTAGCCGAACATTGCTTCTTCTTTATCGTCACTGGATATAAGAATGACCTCAAATGAAGCTCCTTGCTTCTGGAGCTTCAAATAGATATCATCAAGGTAGGACGTGAAACCTAAACACCATGGGCACGATCGGTTTCCGAAAAAAAAGCCTACTACTTCTTTGTCCTCTAAAAATTCTTTGGCTTCGACCTCGCTTTTGTCCCTTCTTATCAGTTTTAATCCTTTGATAAATTCCATGAGTAGAGATTAGCGTACCTTTTTCCGCAAAGGTATGGCTTAATTCTTATTGTGGTTTGTAAATGTGACAGCTACTTGACATTTATACAATACACTCACTGTCTTCTAGTGGTAAAACTGAAAGTGGTAGACCTATAATGTTTGGAATGTAGACTCACCTATATATCGCCGGTTACCCTGGTAACCAGAAACTTGTTACATGTATCGATTAGTTACCGCTAGATAGCGTTCTACCGCTAGAAGAAACTGAGTTACTATAGATTTCTAATGCTCAAAACGTCTACTATTTTCAGAATTTAAATAGCAACATAACAAGAATATGTAATTCTAGGAACCACTGTTTTCCTTGTACCAATATTCTTTGTCCTTATGTTCTAACTTATATAAATCTGTTTGTTAGTTTTATTTGTTAAAAAAGCTTATAAATTGGTGAAAAATGTAAAACTGTTAAAAGTATCTTCTAGATATTTTTCACATGGATCATTAATAATTATCTTTCTAGGAGGTTAAACTGTTAAATTCTTCCATTAATTAATCATAGTTTTTTTGTTTTTTTTTCTGCTATATCACAGCTTTCCAACATACTCGTTCACCAAACAGAAATATAAACCACAGCACTTATACATTAAAGAAGAAGAAGAAAATACAATGGAGGTGCGAATATTGTCGGACAAAGACCATGATGGTAAGTTAAAGGATCACTGAATGTTTTTAGGACACTGAGAAATAGATGTTGTTTAAACAGGGTCCATATTTATCATCTTGGCCATTACATTTTTAGAAACAGGACTATTTAATCTCAAATTGCTAACATGTATGGTTAAAGTAACCGTAGTAACATGGAAATACTGCAGGGCCTGAAAGGGAATGAGGTGGGTATTTTTACAAATGTAAAATAGTACATGAAACAAAAACACGAACGATCGCGTGTCTGATTCAAGGGATGTTAGGTGGTGAAATATCAAAATGAATGTAGTAATTTAAAATAATGGGGAAAATAGTGAGCAATTGCTATAGTAGCACCACCCGGTGGTGAAATTAAAAAACAAACAAACAGTAATACACTTCCGTGATTTCTTTGTTTGGTTGAATTTAGAAGTGATAGATTAGAGGGAATGCAACTAGTCATCACCATCAACGGCCAACTTTTGTGCTACTCTTTACCAATGAGTAGTGGGATTGGTGGTCACGTTATAACGCTATTGTGATTGAAAAGGTGACGGGATTCGAACCACCACCCCGCAAATTACGAGTCGATTGCCCTAACCACAAGACCATGCCAGATCTACATTTTCGTGAATTCTTAGACTTACACGTGATAAAAGTATTTCAGTTATATGTTACACGGTTTGTCCTAAACACTGTTCAAAATACCGACATGACCTTAACGCTCTGTATTACTACAAACGTGCACTTTGACTTATTAATATAACAACTTTCTATATGTGACATAACTTTTTATAAAACTGTCAGTCAAATATCTACAAAGAAGTGATGGATATTCCATCTCACTAGGAGTATTTATGTTAAAACGATTTTGGAGCCACCATGATGAGGTCCATGCCACCAAGTCCCGTTAAGCTGTATCTGATGGCTGTGCATCTTGACCACCAAGTCCCGTTAAGCTGTATCTGATGGCTGTGCATCTTGACCACCTAGTCCCTCTAAGCTGTATCTGATGGCTGTGCATCTTGACCACCAAGTCCCGTTCAGCTGTATCTGATGGCCGTGCATCTTGACCACCAAGTCCCGTTAAGCTGTATCTGACGGCTGTGCATCTTGACCACCAAGTCCCGTTAAGCTGTATCTGATGGCCGTGCATCTTGACCACCAAATCCCGTTAAACTGTATGTGATGGCCGTGCATCTTGACGATAGTCCTGCAGCATAGTCTCTGTTGCAAAAGGATCCGTAGTAAGAATTCCAAATTCAAAGCACACCACACCTCTGTACTGGCTTTCCATAATCCATCTAGTGTACGAGAACGACTGATTCCCAGCATTTATTTCAACAGTTTGCGCCTTAGGCATTGCGTCCGGTAGTTTTATCGGTATGTCTTCATATTAAATAGCATGAATACCCATTTCATTCTCCTATTACTTGAGGTATGTAACGGTTGATGCGAAATATTGCGGAAGCAGCTTGTGTACACATGACTTGTGTCGTTTATCAAGATGGTTATTCTTCTTGACTATGTTGGGAACTCCTACCTGTGGCACATGGATGGCTTTTGCCCCTGACATTTGTGTTCGTGGATTCTGATCTGTTACAAGACTTTGAACTTTGCTTACCCCGGCTGGAGTACGACTTCATGCAAAGAGCTTTCTGAAAGGTCCTGAGTTCCAGGTTTCCCATATTCTCTTGTTTTTCAATGCCATTAGGCAATAGATATCCCCGTCTTTTATTTTTTAAATATCCGATATGAACAAACCTTTATGATCTGAGTGTATGAATATTTTGCTTCGGAAAGGAATGTTACACAAGTTTCACAATAACAACCAATTTCGGTGGCATCACAAGCCTGCCAAACAATATCCAAATGTAGTTATGGTACAATCCTTTATACCATGACTTTATATCAGCTGTGTTTGTCACGGTACTCGCTGATTTGCATCTTAAAAATCGTTTTAATATAATGTACTAAATTCATATATATATATATATATACTGGGAATTCAATTAAGTAGAGAAAAATTAAGATTTAACAATAACTTTAAATAAGGTAAACGTTAAGAGTAAACAAAAAAGTATAGTTATCAACCCATTTGGTGACTCAGCGGTAAACTTGGGCGCTTATTATGCTAAAGGCCGGATGCAGTGGGCACAGGACAAATAGCCTATTGTGCAGCTTATTGCTGAGCAACGAAGAAAAACGTATTTATCAAATCCTCTGGTGACTCAGCTGTAAGCTAGGAGAGCTTATATTTCTAAAATATTAGGTTTGATCCCTGCGATGCGCACAGTACAGATAGTCCATTGTGCAGCTTTATGTTAGGAGAACAACAATATTAAATATAGTTTTCAAAATATAATAACATATTTACTTGAGAGAGTTTCTTATTCTGTGTTTTAAGTTCTTTTTTGCTAAATCAATTGTTGTATTATTATGAGAAACATTCTTTTTTATTTAAATACTGAAGTAAACATGCACGTGCTATAATAAAAGTATTTTACAATAGCGTTTCTGCTCTAATATAAAAAAAAATCTGAAGTTGATATTTCACATCCTTATAGCCCAATAAACTACAAAATAATAAGCACAGTTTTCTTTTTCCATTACACTTTTGTAACGGTTTTATAAATCAAAATGTCTATTATAATTTAAATCTATATATATACATATATATAATTTCGTATTCATGGAATAATGTAATTACCACCTATACATTTGTCCACTCTTTGTTGTATTAGGTTTAATCCAATAGAATGGTGTGAAATCTCCGAAAGATGTTCTTGTTTTAAATATTGAAGAAATATGATTTTAGATTATGCTTGAACAACATGACTTTGGTTCTCCCCTAGAGTACACGTCACGTGGACTTCTGAACAATTTCTCTAGCGATTCAATGCACCACGTGTAAATCACTTATCCACATGATTTTAGATTATGCTTGAACAACATGACTTTGGTTCTCCCCTAGAGTACACGTCATGCGGACTTCTGAACGATAAGTGATTTATTTACACGTGGTGCATTGAATCGCTAGAGAAATTCCCATGATTTTAGATTATGCTTGAACAACATGACTTTGGTTCTCCCCTAGAGTACACGTCATGTGGACTTCTGAAAGATTAGTGATTTACACGTGGTGCATTGAATCGCTAGAGAAATTCCCATTAAACGCACTGGAGAAATGAAGGAACGCCTCCGAATAAGTATAAACTGATTCGGGATGAAATCTATTATCGCGTAAAGCTTCATATTTCACTTTCGAGAGGAGGTTCCAAAAAAACCTGTTTCCGAGAGTAACAGGAAAATAACAGGTCTGCCGAACAAGATGGGTAAACCTATCAGTGAAAAACAGAAACAAACAAATAGTCGCTTCGTCTTCGATAGGTGATTATTTTAATATCCTGAAAGATAAGATTAATATTTGATTAATTAATCACTTACGGAAAACATGTCTCTCTATTCTCGCTTTCGGTTTAATAAAATCGACCAATTAAAGAGAGGAAAATATATCCCCCCCCCCCTATCTTCGTTACTTGGTTTTAATGAAATCGGCCAACCACGGAGAGAAGTCCTCCGATGGGACAGCGGTAAGTCTAGGGATTTACAACGCAAAAACCAGGGGTTTGGTTCCCCTCGGTGGATGCAGCAGCTAGCCCGATGTGGCTTTGCTATAAACACACACACACGGAGAGGAAATATATCTCCCCTATCTTCACTGCTTGGTTTAATGAAATGGGCCAACAACGGAGAAATTATAAATAAATTGTTGTTCGTTTCGTCATTTGGCAAGTACAAGGGATTTTGTATGTAGAAATAACTCTTTTAGAATTCATGGCACTAGGATTTTTAACGTTTCCATGAATATAAATCACACACACACACACTGTAACTTTTACACGTCATGCTATCATTGCTATGGATTTTGTGTATGCAGAAGAGCGGTATTTTGGTAACACCTAAGATTACGTTAATGACATTACCTTTTTGTTTTTCAACATGCCATTGTTCAAGTTTAATTCAAATTTTGTAGAAAACACACACGTGCAAATTATCACGGATTTCTTGTTTATGAAACGTGATTATACCAATATTAAAATATGAATTTGTGTAAAAATAACAGAAACATTACATATAGCTTTATTGGTTGTTAGTAGACAACACTAATATGAGTAAATTCACAAATTCTGTAACTTCTGGATGCTCAACAAATCCTTGAACTACATATCTATTTATTAGAGTGCAGTTTCGTTTTTCACGTTAGTTTTATTTCACATACACGATTTTGTTTGTTTTGAATTTCGCGCAAAGCTACACGAGGGCTATCTGCGTTAGCCGTCCCTGATTTAGCAGTGAAAGATTAGAGGGAAGAGCAGCTAGTCATCACCACCCATCGCCAATTCTTGGGATACTTTTCACCAACGAATAGTGGGATTTACCTTATAACGCCCCCACGGCTAAAAGAGCGAGCATGTTTGGTGGGACGGGGATTCGAACCCGCGACCCGCATACTGCGAGACTAACCACCTGGCCATGCCGAGCCGCATACAGCTATCGTTCACAATTTGTTTTGTCTTGATTTTGTGCAAAGTTGCGCAATAGGCTATCTGCGCTGCCACGAGATCACCATTCATATTCACGTATCTGGTCAAACAAAGTTAGAATAAGAATTCATAGCCCAAGATGGTTTTATTCTTCAATTCTAGAAGATGAAGAGATATAAGTTAGTTTCTTTTTTACTTGCCTTACCACTCGCCCGTTTTTTTGTTTTATTTTACTTCTCCCAACATTAAAATCTTCGTTGTATCGTTTCAGATTCGATTCTTTTGGTTTATTCTTGTCGAGCGTTTATTTATCTAAAATATAAATTATAAATATAAATATAATTATAGGACGAAGCTTTTGTTATGCTATTAAAATATTGTGGAATATGTATTTATATATTTTCAATTCTATTATTTAAAATATTCAATTATTAAATCAAAGTTATGAGGTAAGGAGTTTTTCTAATATGTATCTTTATTCTTCGACCAAATTTATCTTGGAAATGCATTAAAACACGGTACCTATATTATATAGCTATAGCCCAGCCTTATATTTTGTTACACTACCTTGTCATCGGTATCCATGACAAAAGAGGAGAGAGATCATTGGCGTGAAATAAGATTTAGTTTGCTAAATCTATGCAAGCTAATGGGTGATTTTGAAGTGCTCGATGACTATTTTTTTTTTGTTGTTGTTGTTCTTTAGCTAGTTTTATCAATAACTGTATTTTAAATGGCGATTTTATTTAGCTTGCAGTTGATAAAAATCACAGTGAAAGGCTTAAAAACATTTGCAATTTTTTATAATATTTATTTTTAGTTATGGCGACCCGGGCCGGATGTGAACTAATGTCGACATGTCCAGAGTGTAAATCCGGTAATTCCTTGTTTCGCATCCATTGCCATAAAAACACTTTCCACACTTTGTGGCCGCGGATGTCCTGTAAGAGTGTTAGAGTGATGATCAAGTTCGGTCAGACAAGTGTTGGCGGTGGGTGCTGTTGACTAGCTACCTAGTCTCTAATCTTATCAGTTCAAAATTAAAGACGGTTATGAGCAGCTAGTCCTTAAGTAGCTAGAACTGTAAAAAAACAAGTATGGTTCCCCTCTGTGTTTTTTATATTTTATCTTTACATGCTGTATTCATTAACTGTAAAAAACAAGTATGGTTCCCCTCTGTTTTTTATATCTTTACATGCAGCCCCCTCCCAGTGGCACAGCGGTATGTCTGCGGACTTATAACGCTAGAAACCGGGTTTCGATACCCGTGGTGGGCAGAGCACAGATAGCCCATTGTGTAGCTTTGTGCTTAATTCTAAACAAAAATCTTTACATGCTGTATTCATTAACTTGGGATAGTTTAATATGTGACAGCTTTCATTTATTTTAAAAACAAATTTAAATAATGTTTGGAACAATAATTAATACTTGTTACAAACGTTGAATTCAAATGATACGTAAATGTAATTTTTTAAAATTGTAATTTTATCCGACTTAATAGTTATCTAAACATTTGAAAGTATACATTATTTTTACAACATATATCTCAAGTGTTTAGAATTTAGTCCCTATTAGAATATCATAGGTACGACCTTGAATAATAAATGTGAAACTCAGTAGTTATAAAACATTTCTTAATCTTTGTTTTAATAGTACCCTCGCTTTTAAATAAAGCTAGGTAAAAAATAAAATGGCTACAAAGCAATTTGGTAATGCAATAATTATAATTGTTGGTTATCACAGTTGTATCTAGGGCTTTAAATAATTGTCTATCTTTCGTCAAAGTCCACACAGACTGGTTCAATTACTTTAGAACACAATTGACAATAATTATTATTATTATTTATTCTGTTATTGCAATACAATCTGTGATAATTTCACTTTAAAAATCGCTACTATACGCTTTTTATGGCTAAACTCACAATCACGCAGTCTAGATCTATCTCTCGAACTAAATTTCCAACGCGTATTTATACCCCAACAAAGGTTCAGAGCGTTCCACACTCTACTAGATATTACGATGCAATAAAGCTAAATTAAAACAACGAGAAAAAGTCAGAAGGTTCTAGTAACATGACGCAAAATATAACAATCACGAATTTATAACTATTGAACTACCCAACGTACGGTTTGTAAACAGTTACGTAATCAAACTTGCGATAAACTATCACTTCTAAAAATAATTAAATTTAACACTCGTGCTATATAAACTAATCTAAATCATAACATTCATATTAAACTTAAACTGAAACAGTCGTGTATATCTAACAAACTTTTGTGATATGTTATGAATAAAACCATTTATAACTCATGTTTTTTCAGAACTGAAAATTAATGAGTCTACCTAAGAACTTTACTGGTGCGATCATTTGCAAGTACACAAGAAACGTCGTACCTGTTCTAAAATATTCATCTTACTGTAAAAGCTGTAACTTGTAATAAAACAATACATATTAAACGTTTGAGTTGTATTATTTAAGTTTTATTTTCGCTTTTGACTTTTATCAACTATGTAGTCTGCCTTACTCAAATATGGCTTTCTGAGTACTTATACCGCTAGAAACCGGGTTTCGATACCCGTGATAAGCACAGCACAGATAGCGCATTGTGTAGCTTTGAGCTTAACTACAAACAAACAAACAAATCTGGTATAGGTAACATAATTTATAAAATACTTAACGGACTGAGTTGAAAGATTCCTTTGACAGCCCTATTTCAAGTACTTGGTGGTAACATATGTGAAAATAATATTAATGAATTAAAAAACAGAATTAAATGCTGCTATTCATTACTTACTAAAAGAACTTCAATTTGCAAGCTAAGTTATATTCAGTAGTGTGTAAAAACTACCCTAAAAATACACGTGTCTGTTCTTTGGACGGTGGTGAACAGATAAAAATATTTAAAATACTAGACGGAATTTGAGTTTTTTGCTTAATGGTAACGTAATGGCTCGACAGACAAAACTGGAAGGATCCAATAAGTTTAGTATATATATTAATGAAAGGCTCCTGGTGACGATTTAATAAAACACTTTATGTTTTACACATATATATTGCACGAAGTGTAAAAGTTCTGATACGTTTCTAAACCAGATTTTATATGTTTAATATGCTGTTAATTTATGATATTTTACCATTCTTTATGCTAGAATACTGGCACGTTTTAATGGAACAAATATAATGAAAATATAGCTTTAGAAACTTTATAATCTAACTATGCCTTTAGAAACTCGAAAATCTAGCTATGCATTTAAAAACTTCATAATCTAAGTATCCCTTTAGAAATTTTATAATCTTAGTATGTCTTTAGAAACATTATAATCTAACTATGCTTTTAGAAACTTCATAATCTAAGTATGGCGTTAGAAACATAATAATCTAACTAAACCTTTAGAAACTTTATGAATATAATCTAACTATGTCTTTAGAAACTTTATAAATATAATCTAACTAAACCTTTAGAAACTTTATAAATATAATCTAACTATGTCTTTAGAAACTTTATAAATGTAATCTAACTATGTCTTTAGAAACTTTATAAATATAATCTAACTATGTCTTTAGAAACTTTATAAATATAATCTAACTAGCCAGTGGAGCTTTAACGGTTTAAAAATAATTAGTTTTGAAAAAAGAAAAGAAATTGTATCCATGATCACTTTCTTTTGGCATGCCCCCCCCCCGGTGGCTCAGCAGTAAAGCTGGGGGCTTTTAACTCTAAAATTCGAGTTTCAATACCAACAGTGGGCAGAGAAGAAGCTCATTGTGTAGCTTTGGGTTTAACAACAATAGCTAAAAAAAAAACGAAATCATATTTACACAAACTCAAAGATTTATTTTCCTATACCAACGTATTAACGTAATATTAACAACGTATATATAAACATTAAGTAAACGAAAGCCAATGATGCGTTGTAATAACAACTATCTATTTTTTTTCTAAAATATACATACATAACTTTAACCCGAATATTTACGATAATAGTGCTTTCTGAATATTTGTAAACAATCTCGTTGGAAAATATTTACTGTATCCAACGTATTGCGAAGACGTTTATAGTTTAGTAAAACTAGAGAAAAAATCACGAATATATCAGAATACTAGATGTTGAAAGTACTCAAATTTCTCGTGCAGTTTTAGGTTTAGAATATTGTCCAGGCTATACAGACACGTTCGGCATGTGGAACACAGGTTTCTACTGTCCAGAAAAGAAGCCTAATGAACCCGTATACTGTTGTGGAACGGACACTTACAAGTACTGTTGTACCAAACGTGACGTTTTTAAGGCCGAGGAATCTGGGGATGAGTAAGTTTCAAGAATGATAAACGTATCACTACTGACACTGCATGCAAAGTCAATGAAGTGTTTTGTATGTGTATAAGCATGTCTGTGAGTTTTTTCATTTTTTAGTTTGAAATTTTATTTTATCTTAAAACCGAAACTTGATGTCGGGTAATTAATAGCTGTCCCGTTAATATTAGTAATCGAACGCAGTAGTTTTATATATCCCAGTCAGGCCTCCCACTAAAACCTTTCTCATCCTTGATTTCCTTTACCTTTACCCAAAGTAGGCCAATAAGATCTATAGAAATCTATAACTTTGATGGTAAACCTTTATTTGAAAAAAAAATATTGCCGCCACATTTTCGATATTACCATAATTATCCAATAAAGATCCATGAACATTTAACAGTTTTGCAGCATTTTTGATGTAATGTCTGCTATCATGAAAGTTTTATAGATGGTTATATAAATTCATATTTGTTATTAGTCTAGTAATATTTATCTATATATATTTAATCATATATTTTGTTTTGTAAAACCATAATTTGCTCTATGTTTTTAGAGCAAGACGTTGTATTAGAGCGAAGCTACGCAATGGACTGTGTTCTGTCCACTGCGAATAATTTAATTTTATCGTTGTAAGTACGTAAATTACCGCTGACCAACAGGGCATAGAAAAACGAACTATTAATAAAAAAGCTATTTTTGCAGTGGTCTACTGAGTGGCTTGCTCATTAGGTAAGTACAAGCGGTAGAGAATCATTAACCTTCTGTAAGGCCTGGTGGAAGAGGGTTTAGCCCATTTCTTAGATTACTCCACCTTTTTTTTTTCATATTAGAAACAAATAAGAAGTAGATGATAAAACCACACCAAATAAGATACTGATTTAGGGCTGAATATCGAAGCTTTCTCTGAATTTAGGATTTTAATAGCTCAATTTCTGGGAACCCGGCGGATTGAAAATTTTTTTTATTTATTTACGTTCTTTTTTGTCTTAATCAAAAGTAATTAAAGTATCTGCATCATTTATCTAACTTAAATGATTAAAAAATAATGTGAACGAAAGAGACTGGTAAAACGAAGCTTTTTTGTTGTTCAAATTCGATGACGAGGAACCCACTTTGAGACTAATAATGGCTGGAGACGGCTTAAATGGGTAATGAAGAAAAACTTTAATATAAGTTTAACATGACAGCAAACGTACAACGTTTCGACAAGGTTTTGTCATCTTTTTTGTTGTTGTTAATCGCACAGCTACACAATGGACTAAATGTGTTGTGCCTACCATGGACATCGAAACCCAGTTTTAGGGTTATAAAATTTCAGACTTACCGCTGAGCCGCTGGAGGGCAAAACTTTAAGCATTTACACGAATAACCTTCATTTTACTCTATAAACGTTTGTTTGTTTGTTCTGAATTTTGCGCAAAGCTACACGAGGGCTATCTGCGCTAGCCGTCACTAACTTAGCAGTGTAAGACTAGAGGGAAGGCAGCTATTTAACCCCACCCAACACCAACTCCTAGACTACTCTTTTACCAACGAATATTGGGATTGGCCGTCCCATTATAACGCTTCGTTTCTACGGCTGAAAGGGAGAGCATTTTCGGTGACGGAGATTCGAACGAGCTATCCGCAGATTGCGAGTCGAGCGCTATAATCACCAGGCCATGCCAAGCCATCAACACTTGAATCGGATCTCTTTTGAATGTGAGTTTGGCTACGTCAGTATATTCAGTAAAAATGGGTCGTTCAGTATCCAGTTAAACTTGAGTACAGGCAGCTTTCAATGAAGTTTAATGAAGAAACTGCAGTGGTTAAGCACTTACATGGAATTTGATTAAATATCACCATCCACATCCTCCAATCCGGAAAGTATTAATTAATACATTCCGCAAATCTCGGGGTTATCTGATATATATATATATATATATATAGCACAAAAATCTGTGTGTTTGTCTATTTGTTGTTGTATAACTACATCTAGGTCACTGGGCCAATCTCAACCAAACTTTATGGAATGATAGTTTACAACAAGGGACATGTTAATGGGAAGTTCAAAACCCCCTCCAAACCCCATTATTTATTTTATTGAGCATTTATTATCTTTGACGTAAGTGAAGGTCAGCTACATTCATAGATGGCACCACGTTCTTACACCACACGAAAAAACTATTAATTTTCCTATAACACAACATACACACAGTGTGGGGAGGAGGGTACACAAACGGCATATATATATATATCTCAGAGAGTGTGCTAGCACTCTCTCTATGGAGGAATGCAAGAAAAAAAATGGCTGCCACTACTGCAATAATACATAAACCCAGATGAAGTTTCTACTACAACACCCACCATAACGCTGATATGAAGAGCTGTTTCTTGAGTTATACCCACTTCCTACTTTGACCCGTGACCTTACAAGTTCATCCCGTAAGAATCGTCTGCGGCCAACGACCGTCAATTAATTAATAACGTGAAATAGTGTGGAAGGACATTACGAACCGAGTGTTGAAAGCGGGTAACAGAAAGCACTCCTACCGCCACTTCTTTGGCCGTTATCTCTTCATCTCTTTGACCATCGTACAGTGTATACCATGTTTTAAGTTTTTACATAGTGAGTTCTTAAAGCTTATACAAAACCTTTGGCGAGGTAATAATGAACGCTGTAATAATATACTATGTTACAAGTAAATTCCGTGAAAGTTAGGAGTTTGGCATTATTTATCATGGAATCCACCTTTCCACATTTTTTAAAGTTCATAACCCGGATAAAGAACGGGTACTTCAGTTCTTCTTCCATAAATCCCAGGATTTGGGGAGCCATATTAGCGTACGGGATCCCAGATGACAAACTATATACTGTTTATTTGTTTGTTTGAAGTTAAGCTCAAAGCTACACAATGGGCTGTCTGTGCTCTGCCTACCACGGGTATCGAAACCCAGTTTCTAGCGTTATAAGTCCGCAGACATACCGCTGTGCCATTGGGGGCTCTCGTCTAATGGTTTATTTGTTTGTTTGAAGTTAAGCGCAAAGCTACACAATGGGCTGTCTTTGTTCTGCCCACCACGGTATCCAAACCCAGTTTCTAGCGTTATAAGTCTGCAGACATACCGCTGTGGCATTTGGGGCTCTCGTCTAATAGTATTACTTAAATTGGTAAAAATGAAATGCCTTTACCAAAACTACTGTAAAAATATTACTTTTAAGCTGTCGTGTTTTATTCGGTGGATTACAGCGTTTAAAAAGAGCTCACCCCCGCCTTTCAAACTTGTAATTTAGATTTGTTCTAATATAATTTTGTGCCGTTTGCTTTTTTATATTCTTATTATAATTTAAAAAGATCTATTGATCGTATTCTCGGTAAATTCTATATCTTCTTACTTGTATCAATATGATTTAATTGTAAAGAAAATAATAAAAATCATCAATTGTTATGGTGTGAACGGCTTTTCTAAGCTGGAGAAGTGTTATTATAATCAATTATAAAACACTGGTATTAGGTTTACCGAAAATTTTCACACTACATTCTTTAATCGGTCCCTTAGGAATTTTCACTCTACAATCTTTATTCGATCCCTTAGGATTTTTCACTCTACAATCTTTATTCGGTCCCTTAGGAATTTTCACTCTCCATTCTTTATTCGGTCCCTTAGGATTTTTCCCTCTGCAATCTTTATTCGGTCCTTTAGGATTTTTCACTCTACAATCTTTATTCGATCCCTTAGAATTTTTCACTCTACATTCTTTATTCGGTCCCTTAGGAATTTTCACTCTACATTATTCGGTCCCTTAGGATTTCTCACTCTACATTCTTTATTCGGTCCTTTAGGATTTTTCACTCTACATTCTTTATTCGGTCCCTTAGGATTTTTCACTCTACATTCTTTATTCGGTCCCTTAGGATATTTCAATGTACTATTCGGAGCTCTGTAACAAATAGTACAATGGTAAGATAAACGTTCGGTGTATTATTAGTACAATATACAGTAAGTCAGGGTTCAGTGATGTTTATAGTATCTTCAACTTAAATTACATATACATAAACTATAATCAAATACTTAGCTTTCAACTAAATCTCTAAGTATCAAAACCTACTCTACCCCATGGATGAGCAAAATTCCAAGCTCACGTTGCCAGGGAAACTGTTAGTTTCACATCTTATTAACCTGCTTTGTTAAAAAAATATTTTTCTTAGCCCAGAAATATTTATGTCAAGTCTAAAATATAAATTAAATGTTCAACGTCGTTTTTTCTATAATTTTTATGGCTTACATATGGTTCTTAACAGAAGTGTAAACGCCTCAAACTTATTTGTTGACCGGTCTTGAATGTAATAGTGTTAAATATCATGAACTATAACCAAGTGTCTAACCTTCTTGTAAGTTCTGTTGATGTCAGATGGGTATCCAATGTACAATGTTGAAAATATCATGCACAGAGCATCTCCACTAAAACATGATCATTCAATACAATTTCATTAACTGTTAATACAAATAATTTGATATATATTGTTATGAGATTAGTAACTAAAGACATTACATGTATCTATTATCAGATTATTAACTAAAAACGTTACATATATCCGTTATGAGATTAGTAACTAAAGACGTTATATATATATATATATATATATATCGTTATGAGATTAGTACGTTACATATATCCATTATCAGATAAGAATCTAAAAACGTTCATAAAATTGTAAAACTTCATAAAAATAGTCCAATCCAGTTGAGAAGGAAAACGATAATGTCAAATTACAGATATGTATATGTAGATATTCGTGCGCGTTAATAAAGAAAAGATCACTTGATCTGGATATTTTTCTGAAACCCCAAGTTAACGGGAAGGAATATAATTATTTTTTAATTAACAGCTACATAGTTTGGTTTGGTTTGTTTTTGAATTTCGCGCAAAGCTACACGAGGACTATCTGCGTTAGCCGTCCCTAATTTAGCAGTGAAAGACTAGAGGGAAGACAGCTAATCATCGCCTCTCACCACCAACTCTTGGTCTA